GCTTGCAGTATATTTAAAATTTGACCAAAATTGGAAGAGTTTTGATATATAAAAAATGAACCACAGAGTAAATTTGGAATTTGCTAAAATTTTACTCTACATTCATTTTCCATCAAATCAAACACATCTAAAACCCTTACACTTGAAATACTTTACACTCACTTTTCATTGAATCAAACTTTTTAGAAACATCTAAATATTAACATAGTAACATTTAGACTTTAGATTTTTATCAGAGGTAGAGATAAATTAGAGAAGGTTATTCAATAAATTTCATAATTTTTGATATAAATTGGGTTTTTTGGAATTTTTGAAGTTGAAAAATAAACCTAATAGAGTAAATTTTCATGATCAAATTTGATAGAATTTTGTCTAGCAAAACTTAGGGTGGGTAGAGTTTGATGAGAGGAAACTCCCTTAAAAATTTCCCAGATTTTGAAATTTTTTGGAATTGATTGAGATTTTTAGAAATCAACTGGCAATTTGGTAATATATGGGATTTTGGAAAATCTGAATTTGAAACTATAAAATGAGCTGTAATATTTATATGGTAGCTAGAGCTCATTGAGAGTGGGTGATTCACCAAATTTTATAATTATAAAAATGGGGATATTTACTTAATTGGGTTCAAGTAAATGCAACAAGATTAAGATTTTTGGTCTCGGACTTGAAGGCTAAGTGTTATTGAATTTACAATAGCTTCTAGGCTAAGGGAGAATGTAATTTAACCTATAGCTTGTGGGCGAAGGGCTAATAAATATTCTATTACTTTTGATTTTATAGAAATCAAGGTATTTTCCTTATTGAGCTGCATGAATACGATTGAAATTTAGCGATATGTCTATAGCTTTCAGACTGCAAATCAAAGAGAGATCATAGAACTTTTGTGTTCAAGTATGAAAGTTTCATTTGCTTAGTTTGGGTTAAGCAAATGTGAGATGCTAGGATTGATATCTTATGCCAAGGGATAGGAGCTATTTGTTGATTTTGGTTCAAACAAGTAGACCAAGCGATCTAAGATTTAGTTCTAAGGACTGTTGGTGCTATCTTGAATATTTTAAAGGTTATTTGGAAACCTCTATGAGAGTTTAACTAGGCACAAAACAAAGAGAGATTAAATATCAATGTTTAACTTGAATCAAAACAATCCTAAGATTTGTTTAAGGGCAAATAAGTTCTAAAGAGATCCTATGATTCATGCAATAAACTGTTTGAAGCTATGGAAAGCTTTGAAGCAATGCTCATGAAGAAAAAGATGACTTTTATGAAGGTTTTTTTTTTTAAAGAATGTTTTGGATTCATTAAGATTGGAAAGGTCGCTTCTATGATTTTGAGATGGTCTTAACTCTTAAGGTTTATGCATAATTTATGACCTTAAAAGTGCATAACAAGTAATTTCCATTTTTAGAATTTTTTCATATTTAAAAAATTCAAGCAAGTTTAATTACTTTCAATCACTTTGGGGTATGAAATATAAACATTTAAAGGACATGAAAGTCTCCACAAGAATTTTATAATTCTTGAAATCAATTAAACTTAGTTTAAATATTTTTTCATGCCTCAAAAGTAAATGAAAATTCTAACAAATGTGAGACTCCCGTAACTTCTAAGTTAATTTTGTCATAACCTTAGCAAGGAAATGAAATGCAATTTGTAATGAGTTGAACAAGTGCATGGCTATTTGATTTAAAAGATCTAAAGGCCATATACAACCTATGATTTGATTTTGGTGGAGGTGCAACTTTTATGAATTGAAACAAGTGCGTAGCCACTTTATTGGAATCAAATGGCCATGAACAACCTATGGTTTGATATAGGTAGAAGGACGAATTCGATATAAATTCTATTTCATATATGGAGGGTTATCAGCCCTGAATACAACAACTCGACACCTCGTCCCTCTCTTCCTTAAGTTACTGAATGTGAACCATCCGTTGGTAATCATTGGATTTCTGTGGATTAAGAAAGTGGATAGTAAAAATTAGGTTAGAAAACCATAAGCTAAGTGCAGTCTAAAGGGCCTAGGGTTGATTGAGGTAGTCACCCAGCCACAAAGGCCAAGAGTCCTAGGTTTTCTAAGTTTTAAGAATTTCGTCTCACTAAAGCTAGTATTCAGTGGTCAAAGACAATAGTGTATTCATTTGAATGAAACGAAAGAAACATAAAAGAAACACTTGCTTAACAATGCTCGAATTGCTTTGGGCGTCACTATCACTGTCAACAACTCACTAAATTAGCCACCACAACTTGCTCGTGTTTGGTCTTTCACATCAAGGCTACAACTGGTGAGAAGGAAACTAAGGTTTAGATGCTTGAGCTCTTTGATTTTTGACTACTTCTCCTATCTTTGAAATCAAACACCACATAGAACTCTCTCTCTCTAAAAAACTTGAAGCAAAAAGCTCTCTCTCTCTCCCAATTTCTTCTAGTCATGGCTTCAAACAATTGGGAAACTGATCTAACCCTCAAAATAATTTGCAATCAACGCATTCTTCTCCAATGCCCCCGACAACTTTTACCTGTTGGAAGGAGTAGGGGAGACTGCTGCTGCTCTATCTAGCACCTTCAGCCATCAGATGCGAAATGCTTAATTTTGGCTAGGCTTAGAGGGGCATAATAGGGTACTTAAAACTTCATTGAGTGTGGGTTGACCAGATGAGTTATGAACCCTATTTTAAGTCAATTTGAGCATGCTGAGGTTGATTTGGTTCGATTTGACTCAATTTGGTTCAATTTAACTATATTTGACTCAGGATTAATTTTGCTTGATTCGACTCGATTAAGCTCAATTTGACTCAATTTATCTCTATTAAGCCTAGTTTGACTTGATTCAAGTCGATTGAGTTGATTTGATGCAATTTGTCTTGATTTGATTCAAATTGATGAAATTAATGTTTAATCAAACAAATGAAATCAATTAAATTGAATCGATTGATTCAATTTAATTAATTTTAATTAATTTGAGTTGACTCGAAGCAGAAAAAATCGGGTCGAATTTGAATTAGTTTATCAAGTTTGATTAAATCGAATGTCTCAGGTTAAAAATTAAGTTGAAATTTGATTTTAATTTATTTGAATCGGCTCGATTCAAAAATTGAGTTAACATATCATTGTTTTCGATTGAGAGAGAACACAACTGCCTATTGTAAAGATGAGGTCTAGATGTGGAGAATAAGATGTTATTTATTATTGTCTATATTTAGTAGCTGAGTTGGCATGAAATGTTTGAGTGCAGTACACAGTCACTAGGGGTTAATATACTTTTATTCCCTCTCCTTTCTTTCTTAGCATCATCACATCAAGAATTTTTGGGCTATTGGTGGGGTAACATAACATTTCTCTTTAAATATCTGAAATTTTATTGGTTGGTTTTTCAATAATTGTATGCTTGTAGCTTTTCAAAGTCGTGCTCGTTGACCCTTAACTTGAAGGATGGCTTTTGGACAATCTGCTATCACATATTTTCATTGTCACACTATCGATGATGTACCGACACTTCATGTTAAAGGGGTATATAGTGTCTGATATGTGTTGGACATGGATACATGCCCAACACACATCCAACATCTATTGGATGCATCTCACATTTCTGATTAAAAAAATAATTTAAAAAAATTGGAAATGTGTGCTGACATGCATGTCCTAAAAATTTAATTAAAATTTTATAAAAAATGCACTTTTAATTTTTCATTTCCCTCTCCATTATTTCTCTCAAAAATTCTTGCCCTATCTTTTTCTTTCCTGCACGCTTAGACTAGAGTTTGGGTTGATATAGCCGGATCTACAAATCTATTCACCGCTTTAAAAGCTGGACTTGCATGCTCATCTCCCAACTTCCCGCACGCTTGTGTGTGTTTCTTTTGTATCCCCCCTCTTCCTATTGATAGGGCTTGGAGAGTTACAGTAAAACGCTTATGAAGTACATTAGTTGTATTATACTATTATCAGTCTTTGATGTAGCTTGGCCAGCTGTGCTGAGTGGTGTGACGATCTTGTAGGAGATGATGTAGGTGAGATGTACCTGTGAGCGACTGGAGATCGAGTCAGCTTGAGGTAGGAAGCCCGTCTAAAGTTTCCTTGCTAGAGCGAGAGGGGGTGAGTGATGATTTGATGTTGATCTCTGAACTCGGTGAATTGTTAGTGTGAGAGGTCTCATGTGAGAGATATCTTTCTAGCTTGATTTTTGGTAGGTCTTGTGTGGAAGACTTGATTTTGGCTGAGATGAATAAGGATTTGTCCAACTGAGAGATGAACTTTTGAGGTCATCCCTATTGGGGAGGGCGACTACTTGGAGGAAGTGGTCGGAGGAGGTCTGTCGGGCTTCAATGGTAAGTTCCTTCCCAACTCTTGAGCGAGTCTTGTGATCGGATTGTCCTGAAAGAGGAGGGAGTCCTTCTACTCGACCTGAATGTAACCTATTAGATACCTGTGAGAAGGTACTTGCACAAAGAGTCATGGGTATAAAGAGATGAATCATCCATTATAACTCTATAAGTTTATTACAGAACAAAACAACAGTAATAAATAATCTCCAAGTAATATATAGTTTCAATTTTAATGCTCTGATTTTGTTTGTCATTTGTTTGGGTGTGCTTATTAATATTTTGTATCTATTTTATGTGTATCATGCAATATGCAATAAAAAGTAATGAGCACTACCATAACTCTGTACATTTAATCTATTTATTTTGTTTAATATACATGCATTATTTTTAAATTTTAAAATATAAAAGTTATAATGCCATATCCGAGATGTATCCGTGTCCGATATTTTCAATAATAAATGTGTCTTGTGTCCGTATTCTGTTATGTCCATGTCCATGTCCATGTCTGCGCATCCTAGGACACTATTCAAAATGTTTTTTCCCAAAATTTTTTATTTTTTATTTTTTATTTTTGCATTGTAAGTGTTTGTTCTTCAAGTGCTTATCTTTATATGTCTGCCGAAGCTGCTTTGTCTTCTCTTTTATGTTACTTACTCAGTTGTCTCTCTCTTGCAGACTAGTTCTAGCAAAGGTGGTTCTTACTTGTATGACATTCACTATTGGATTGGGAAAGATACTAGCCAAGTATGATTCTTACACATTCTTATGCTTGTAAAGGGTGGTATTGAGATAGTCTTCATTGTTTTAAATGATAAACCATTTCCAGGATGAAGCTGGAACTGCAGCAATTAAAACAGTTGAACTTGATGCATCTCTTGGAGGCCGTGCAGTTCAACACAGGGAACTTCAGGCTCATGAATCTGACAAGTTTTTGTCTTATTTCAAGCCATGCATCATTCCTCTTGAGGGTGGTGTTGCCTCTGGATTTAAAAAACTAGAAGAGGAGAAGTTTGAAAATCGTCTTTATGTGTGTAGGGGTAAAAGAATTGTCAGAATGAAGCAAGTGAGTAGCGTTGAAGCTCTCTTGCTTATTTTCTTGATTAAGCTAACATCTTTTCAGGAATTCATTGCGAATTTGCTCTATTGAATAGGTTCCATTTGCACGTTCTTCATTAAATCATGATGATGTATTTATCTTGGACACTGAAAATAAAATATATCAATTCAATGGTGCTAACTCAAACATTCAAGAAAGAGCTAAATCTTTAGAAGTGATACAATATTTGAAGGAGAAATACCATGAAGGAAAGTGTGATGTTGCTATTATTGGTAAGCTTTGCATTTTATTAAATTGCCCTTCTTTTGCACAGCCTTCAATTTTGAATACTTCATTTATGATATTTTTTTGTTCACAAGATTAGATGATGGGAAGCTCGTAGCAGAGTCAGACTCAGGTGAATTTTGGGTCCTCTTTGGTGGCTTTGCACCAATTGGCAAAAAACCAGCAGGTGAAGATGATGTGGTTTTGGAAAAATCTCCTGCAAAGCTCTACAGGTGTTTTTCTTAGTTTTTACCTAAAATAGCCTATGAAGACTATGTTTTCTTAGAATTCTTTGGTCTACAAGAAATTAGGGACCCAATATTTGCATTTTCAGAAGTCTTGATAAAAGTTGTTTCCATTTGACATCTACTGTGACTTCTTTTTGTTTGTTCGATGTAATTATATACTTTATAGTTCGTATTGAGTGTTCTTTCCGTTAGGCATGAAAGGCTGTAATACATATCGTGCCCCAAATTTAACAGTCACTATTGAAACCAGGTATCATGGAAGCTGACCTAAACTTTGCGATTATTTTTTTTCTTTTTCAATTTTATGGTCTGCTTGTAGGGTAAAAATAGGGGCATAATAGTGAAGAAGAGAGTTGCGGCTGCCATTGTTATATTATTGTGGCCATTCAGGAAACTGAATTTTGGAGGTTAATAGTTGGATATCTTGATTAATTGGGCATCAAGCCCATCAATGCATGGGCATTGACATAATTAATCACGGAAAGTCAACTCTGCCATAACGTAATGTCACATAGTTCACAAATCCAAATCTTTTTCCTTAGTTTTTATTTGTTCTTTTTTTTTACCGTACTGAGTTTTCATTACCAGTGGTGCTCAAATCATTACTTGGCATAATTGGACAATGAGTTTGTAATTTTCATTTGTCAAACATGGCCAAAAGCCAAAAATTGGTTTTATAAGGTCCATCTCAAGGTCCTTGGCAGATACCACGCACCCCAAGAATTTGATGGTGTTGATCAAGAATTCACATTTGACAGGACTGGCGAATAACTGTTGCTCTTGGAGTGTTTTGAAAATTTGGTGAAGGTGTGGTAGGTGTTCATCTACATGTTTGCTTTAAACAAGAATGTCATCAAAATAAATAACCACAACTTTACCTAGGAAAGGTTGGAAAATTTGGTTCATCAAACGCATGAAGGTACTGGGCGCATTAGATAGACCAAATGGTATGACAATCTATTCATATAATTTATGGGGTATCTTGAATGCAGTTTTCCTATCATCTCCCGGTCACATGATTTGATAGTATTCACTTCTTAGGTCAATTTTTGAGAAGCAGAAGGCTGCTACCAACTGATCAAAAAGATCATCAAGTTTAGGGATAAGAATGTGATACGCGATAATAATCTATGTTACCGGCGCGTCTGTCAATACACATGCACGAAGATCTGTCCTTCGTGTGTACAAGCAGTGCTGGCATAGTGCATAGGCTGAAACTAGGTTTGACCAGTCCTTTTTCAATAAGTTCTTCAACTTGTCGTTGCAACTTAGTGTATTCCTTAGGTGACATTTAGTAGGCTGGCTTGGGAATGAAAGAACCCGGTATTAGGTCGATAGCATGCTGAATTTCTCTTGGCAGAGGAAGGCTCGTGAGAAGAGTATATGAAAAGACACTTGCAAACTGTTGTATAAGATTTTGCATAGCTAGGGGAGGTGTTATCTGTTCCGGATTGGCTTTAAAGATAACCAACCCTAGCCCATGGTGGTGTTCCTTGTAATTTTGCATGAATAAAGATTGTGGTATAACTTAAGGGCTGGTGATTGTCGTCTTTTCTTGTTCTTTGGCGGGTAGAAGTATCACTGATTGTTCATCCTTTTGGAAAGAATAAGTGTTGCGGAAGCCATCATGCTTAGTGTGGATCATATTGCCACGGTCGTCCAAGAGGAATGTGGCAAGCATCTACTGGAACAACATCACAAAGAACCTATTCTTGCAACCTGCCTATAGTAGAAAATTGAACAAGACATTGTTTACTTACAGTGATTTCATTACTTCTTTAGCCATGCAAGTTGGTAGGGTTTTGGATGTGGTGTGATTGGAAGTCACAATTTGAAGGCTTTAATTGGATGATGTTGGCAATGGAGGGGTTTAATCCTCCAAGAAATCGGGTGATTGTATTTTCTTTCGACTATGCTAATTAGCATTTGAGATTCAATTGTTCAAATTTAGCGGTGTTAACTTTCGATGGAGAAATCTTGTTGTTGAAGGTTGTTGAGCATGAGGAACATGTCTTGAAGATATTGCTCTGGTTAGAATTTTCATTGGATTTTATTTTGTATTTTCGCCCAAGAATTGATCTTGGCTTTTCCGGCACATTGCCTTTACATCTTTACATTTTCCCACCATAAGGATGCATTACCCTTTAGTTTTATGGCTGCTAATTTGACAATGCGATCATAAGACACTTCCTTGTTGTCAATAATTAATTCCTACGTAAATTCGTCTGGGTCTAAACGTCCCTCAAAGTTCGGGATTTTGATTCCAACATCGCATGAGTATCTTGCTCCTGCGCTTAAGAGTATTTTGCTCCTGCACTTATGACTTCTAACCAGTCACCCCTTAGAACTCCCAATCAATATTCTCCTTATAATTCCCCTTCAATGACGTGAATCAGTCGCCTCGACTCTTTATAACTCACAATCAATCTCCAGCTCCTTATGACTTCTAATCAGTGAATCACATGTATCGGTAGGGTATCACGTAGAGTTATCATATCATATATTTGATATCATTTAGTACTTCATTTAAAATGCAATAAAATCATATCAAATCATTCAGAATGATCAAATCTATAACATATCTAAACATGCATGGTAAAAGCTTATGAAATCGGGAGATAATGTATATTTGACAGATTTATGAGAGATAAAATTCGTAGAAATCAAAATCATTGAAAACGGAAGTAAAAGATTAGTCACTTACAATAAATAAAATAAAATCTGTAATAGTAATGACTTGCAAATATGATCCAAAATCTTTCTCTCTCCTATCTCTTTTTCCCCTCTTTCAATTTCTTCATGCCCAAACAACCAAGTAAAAGAGTCAGTGGGGTGAGGTAAGGATATATATATATATATATACACACACAGTGTTTATGGCCCGACACCACAACGCTCACCAGATTAGCGCTAATATGCTCTACTTCAGAATTTTCATACTTAAAAAAAAAATTATTTCACATATTTGAGTTATTACATTGGACAGGCGGGTGCTTAGGTGCTCATGAGAAGGAAAAAAAATGTTATTTTAATGCTGCTTCATGCAATCTTGCAGTTGCACCAACTTTGCCACCATGGCCGAGATCCCTTGCACATGATCCTATGGCTCCCAGGGTATGGAGATGTAGGCAAAATTATAAAAAAACATTCTTTTCATCTATAAGATGAGAAAAGAGGACTGCAGGGAGTGTTTTTGACAAATTTCCATTTTAATCACTTTTACATCTTTTAAGAATCGAAAAGCTTCCATAGACTGCTTTCAGCCGCAAGTCAACTAAAAATCTTTTAGGCTTGAAAATAACTTCGGCTAATCATATGATTGCTTGTACTAGTATCTGATACAAGCTGTCATTGGTTTGTATTTCATGTAATAAGTGAAAAACTTGTGATAGCCCTTGAACAGTTGATGCCTTTACTTCCTGTAGCATCAATGATGGTCAGTTGAAGTTGGAAGAAGGCTTGCTTTCCAAGGTAGTGCTTGAAAACAATAAATGCTATCTATTGGATTGTGGAGCTGAGATTCATGTTTGGGTTGGTCGAGTAACACAATTGGAGGAGAGGAAGGCTGCTTGCAAAGCTGCTGAGGTAGTGCCTTGATTTTCTTTTCTCTGATGGAAGAAGCCATCTTAGATACATTCGATCACATTTTTTTTCAGGAACTTATTAGTAATGAGAACCGGCCAAAGGCAACTCGGATTAGCCAAATGATTCAGGGATATGAGACACATTCATTCAAATCCAACTTTGAATCTTGGCCTTTAGGCAGTGGTAGTACAGGAATTTCTGGTGGGGAGGAAGGGAGAGGAAAAGTTGCAGGTACTACATACAATTTAATTGCAACCTTCATTGGATGATTTGTTTTTGATTTTTTCCGTTTTTTAGCTCTGTTGAAGCAACAGGGTGTTGATGTGAAGGGAAGCACAAAAAATTCTCCTGTGAATGAGGAGGTTCCACCTTTGCTTGAAGGTGGCGGAAAAGTTGAGGTACTCATTATATCTCCCCCTTTGTCCTTATTTGAAGCTCTGGTATTCCTTAATGTTGTGGGAATTATTGTGTGACATGGTTGATGAATATTTCCAGGTCTGGCGCATCAATGGTAGTGCGAAGACACCAATTCTGCAGGAAGATGTTGGTAAATTCTTCAGTGGTGATTGTTATATCATACTTTATACATATCATTCTGGTGAGAAAAAGGAGGATTACTTCCTAGTCTGTTGGATTGGAAATGAAAGCATTCAGGTAATTATCGTGGCTTGCATTTATTGTCATCAAATAAGGATATAAATATACTTGTTAAATATTATCTGAAATCTAAAGTCCTGCAGTCATATGCTACCTCAATGGAATATACTTATTAAAAATATTGGAGCTATACCTAAGTTCAAAAAGGTAGCTTTTTAGCTATCATTCTGAAATAATTTACTAGTTAGTTAATATAAACTATGGAATGGAAGAAATAAGCACATTAATTGTGCTTTAAATTTAAGAAATGCTCATTAACATGGCCATTTAAGCAAGCTTGATAATTTAGAATCTTTGAAAATTGACCCTTTTTTGGGCTTAAATTTTGTCAGAAATTGCTCAATTTTTTGGAAACCCTTGTTTATGGAAAAATGTAGTTCATTTAAAAAACCTCTGCAACGCTATAAAAATTTCTCAGAAAATTCCTGGCAGATTTCCTGCCAACAATCAGCCAATCATTTATGGGGTAAAATCTGTTAGCACCGTTTCGTCAAAAACCTGAAACTTTTTTAAAAGAAATTAGCAACACTTAAGACGTTGATCCAATCATATAATTTGTAACCCATCTGCATGTTTTGGAGTAATAATGCAACATCTAAGCAATTATGATATAATAGATACAATTGAACATTAAATGTAACCTTCATTTGTTCAACTACAACAACAACAACAACAACAAAAATAACAACAATAACAAACCTTTATCCTACTATGTGGGGTCGACATCAGTTGTACTAAAATATAAAATTCAAGTTATTACAAACTTATCATATTGGTTTTCATTCACTGCCCCTATCTATCATTTTTCCCTTTCTTCCTCTCCTTTGCTCTCATCTTCATCTTATTCTGGTGCTATGTATTTCTGGCTCATCCATTGTTGCACTATGTCATTGCCCTATGCTTGCATTCCAACTTGATATCCACTTGCAGATCCTTAATCATTTTAGTTAAATGACGCCTCCCCATTTATTGCAGTTTGTCTCCTACATGGTCAGGATAGGGGGTATAGGAGGACTACACATCATAAGCTGTCTTATGAGACTAATCTATAAAATTTTCCTTTCCTCTTTACCTGCATCCACAGCCCAAAATTCAATTGTTGAGATAATCCACCTAAAGGCTTCTCTATTGCAGAGCTCTGGCTTTGCATATCTCCGAGGCATATATACTTATCTTACAAAGTACATTTTATATGTTGGATAGTGTGCTTGCATAATGCATTTTGTATGTTTGACAATGTGCTTGCATAATACATTTTGCATGTTGCAATGTGTATATGGCTATATGAACAATATGATTGCATATTAATGTAACGTGCCGCCACAGCGTGACGTACTTTGCATATTGAATGGTACGTTTGCATAAGGCTCCCTGCATATTGCAATGTGTATGTGCTCTTTGCATGCCTTCTGGAGCATTTGCAAAATGTATGTGTTGACCTTCATATAATACCCAAAGGAACAAAAGAGAGGAGAAAGCAAAGTAAAAATCCCACGTACAAACCTCATACTCGACGGATCCACGAAATCTGCCGAAGCTCTTCGCAAATCCTGCAGAAATCCCGTCAAAACTACTGTAGACGCGGCGCCGTTTGCGTCTGTCTCCGCGATTCCTGCTCAAACTCCGTTCGAGGAGGTTCATTTGCGTCGTTAAATAGCCACCCGAGCGATGCTTTCGGTTGCTCTTCTCCTGTTCGCTGCTCCATACGAACCAAGGCCTCAAACTCCCTCTATTTTCCTCTTCCCATTCCTACTCCAGATCCCGCATCTCCTTCCTCCATTCGCACTCCAGCCGAACCCCTCCGATCCCTTCAGCTAGAGAGAAGTAGAGAGGGAGAGAGAGAGAGAAAGAGAAAGAGAAAGAGAGAACCCTACCTGGCCGGCACCTCCTCTGCCCGAGCTCCCTCCATTCTTCCACACGCATAGAAGCTTCGAGCCTTCTCTACCCACGACTCTTGTGCCGGTTTCTCATCCAAGCCGAGATTATTAATTAATTATTATTAATTTACTAAATATAATTAATTAACAATTAGTTATTAATTATTAATTATGATTATTTAATTATTATTATAATTAATATTAATAAAAAAATAATTCCCTCCACTCTCCTTCCTCGATGTTCGCGTCGGACCGGTAGACCACCTAAGCACGCCTTTGGTGCGCGTGGTAGGAGGGAACCCGGTGCGACACCTACGACGAGGGAGGCGAGTGACCCCTCGATCCACGTGTCAACCCCGACAACCCCGCGGAGGTATGAAATTTTCTAAACTCAAAACTCTGTTTCAATGTTCGTGGCGAATCGAAAAACCGCCCCAAGCACGCTTTTGGTGCACGTGGTGGGATGGGAATCCGGTGCGGCACGTAAGGCGAAGCGGGGTCACTTATAAGTACCCCCGAGCGGGGGGAAAGCAAAACTGTATCTTTTTAATAAAATGCTTTTTAAAAAAAAAACCCCATGCACGCCTTTGTTGGCCGTGGTGGGAGAAAAATAAATACAACTGCTGCGGTGTCTTAGTAACACCAACCGTGCACGCCTTTGGTGGCGTGGCGGGTAGGCGGCCTCTTGGTTTTTCCCCTAAACGGGGGAGACGCCGGGAGGCTGCCGAAATTTGGATTGAAAATCCAAGGACTTGAACAAAGAAAGGAGCTTGGACTTGGACTTGATTGAACTGAAAGGACATGCAAGAGCTATATTGAACAAAGATCCGGAACCGTGCACGTCTTTGTTGACGTGGCGGGTAGGCAGCCTCTTATTTTTTCCCCTAAATGAGGGAGACGTCGGGAGGCTGCCGAAATTTTGTCTGAAATAAGACAAGGACTTGGAATAAATTGGGACTTGTGGATTTGATTCAATCTACTTAAAATGAACTTGAATAATATAAAAGAAATTGATTGAAGTCAAAGAACAACATAAACTTGGACTCTCATTTGAACTTCAACAAGGATTTGAATTCATTCTTGAACTTGCAAATGAACTATAACGAAGATTTGAGTTAGAACATGATCTTGAACTCAAAAGAAAACAAAGGAATTGACTCGAACAATTTGAACATGCAAGTGAACTGGATTGAACGTAGGGGACTTTGATGTGGACTTATAACTTGAACTATAATAAGACTTGACTTTTAATCTCATGTGATTCAAAAGAACCATTTGAACTCAAGAGGAAATGACTTGAACTACAAGGAGAATAATACAATATTCGAGATAAAGTTATAATTTGAGATAGCAAAGTACAAATTAAATGCAAAAGAAGGGTACACAAGACTTGTAGTGAATTAGAACTTGCAAAAATCATCTACTCACCAAATGATGATAAAGACTCATACAATCAAATGACACTAGAAGGGTTTGATGTGTAATAAGCATAACAAGTCTTCATGTTCAATGGAATGTGGATATCAAACAAATGTTGAATATTAAGCCCCTACACATATTATAAATCATCTCCAAGGCCAAAGAACTTGCACGATCTATTTATTTGCAAGTAATAAGAAGACTCAAATGAGGATTGGTTTGTAGCTAATCTCAAGGGAATCATAAACAAAATTTGTCAATCCGCTTGCAATTGATGGGGGGAGCAATATACAATGAATACAACGCATCCAAAAGCAAAGTGGAGAAGTCGCAAGGAAAATAGTCTACCTACTATCAATGACAACTAATGGTTATATATCTCACAAATATATAACAATTTTCACAAATACTGAAATACATGCAAGCAAATACATTTGTCCCATACAAGTGGAGGGATTTGATATTCAAATGAACAAGCAAGGTGGTACGTCTTAGGTTTCACAAATTAGGGTTTGCCCTAATTTCCCTTTAAAAGAGTGAAATTTCTCCACCAAAACTAAATGAGAAAACAATCACAAAAGGGTAGAGAAGAAAAATGATAACCTTTACATTAGCAAGCCAAGAGAAAACAAGATAAGTTTGTCCACTTCTAGAAGAACAAGATCTCCCACAAGAAAACCCTAGAAAAGCACAAGAGAAGACTAGAGGAAGAAAACTAGAAAGAGAATACACTTTTCATAATGCCCAAAACTAAACCCTAATGGCTCCCTTCATACCCTTTCAAAAAATATCCTCCCATCCCCAAAATAAGTGGGGGTCCCTCTTTGGTCCAGCCGGACTCCCGCCCCCCTCTTCCGCCTGTAGACCCGCACGGGTCCAGGCGGGATCGGTAAACCCGGTCCAACAATACCGCCCTCTAGAAGATCAACCTTGTCCTCAAGGTTGAAGTCTGGAAACTGCGCCTGCATGGTTTCGTATATCTCCCAAGTAGCCTCATGTGTCGGTAAGTCCTTCCACTCGATGAGAATCTCCCTTTTGCCTTGATCATTCTTCCTCACTTCCTTCACATGTAGTTGCTCTAGTAAGAATTGCATATCTTCTGTGAGGCCCTGGGGTATAGTAGGAATGACCACAGTATGATCCCCTATGCTCTTCTTCAATAGCGATGCGTGGAATACAGGGTGGATGGAGGAATGAGGATGTAACTTGAGACGGTAGGCCACCATCCTAACTTTCCTTTCGATCTCGAAAGGCCCATAGTATCGTGGAGAGAGCTTTTCACTCCTGCTAGCTAAAGTCTTCTGTCTGTAAGGCCTTAGCTTCAAGTATACCATATCTCCAACCTCAAATGTCACATCCTTGCGGTGAGCATCCGCCTTGGTCTTCATGATCTGTTGGGCCCTCAATAGGTGTTCCCTCAACGTGATCGGGAGGGGTAATTAACTATAGGGGCTTGCGCCTATAGGAAACCAAAACTCAGATCATAAAGTCCTCGCAAAATGAGGGCAAAATCTCTGGGTAGTGTCTTATCTACAAACCCATTTGCCTTTCAAAATTTACCTCGGAACTTAGTCCGTTAAAACTCCCTCGGATAATAAGAAAAGCGAGTGGAGGCCGGGGCCGAATTTTCGGAGCCCACATTTGGTTAATTATAGCTTAGTTCAGTATTAATATCTAGTTTAAGAACTTTAATGAAATATATAAAGCTAACAAAATCTTCTCAAGGCAAATGCTTTTTAGTCGCAAGACTTATAAATATATCATAATAGTTACACACATGATATTTAATTTGCTTACAATGTTTAAATTGATCATGCAATTGATCTATAGACTCACCAAATAATATATAATGCTCTTTAAATTTATATTTTAGGTCAATTAATTTAAACTTGGTTAAACTTGTAATACTTTACCAAAATGATTAAGCACAATCTATTAGTTTTGATATAGCACATTTATGTTTTTTATAATAAAAAAAAGGCTACTACTTCAAGAAGTTCCACATTATTGATCCATTTAAAAAATTCTTCAAGATTGTGCTTCCCATTGAATGTAGGCATGCAATTTTAATCCTCATGATACTATGATGTGTTCTTCTAGAATCATAACTTGCCTATTTAATACTCTCAAGACTTGCCTGTAGGCTTGTAGGCAAACAACCCCTTGCTCTAACATAAATCAAGTTCCATTTGCATGCATAATTGCTTTTTATAAAATTTCCCTCGTAAAGGAATACAAACTAACTTGGTAATAAGTACTTTATTAATTCCTCATTTTTGAAATCCTAGATTTTGTTTGAACCAAGCTTTGGCTTAGTGGTTCATACCCAGTTCTCAACTATAAGATAATGGTTCAATCCCTATTTCTCACAATGTTGCTCATTTCTTTGAAAAATATCAGACTTGCATTTTTATTTGGCTCTCTCATATCAAAGATTTGTCCCCCACCTCTTCTCAAAATCTAGTAACTAGGCTTATGCCTTATGCCCATTAAAAAATTTATGATATAGATTTCAATCAAGAAAAGAAAACCCTAGATTTTGTTTATCCCTTTTTTTCACACTACCTTCTAAATAAAAGTAACAAATCAAATTACTTGTGGCCCAGTTCTAAGTCCATCTACCCTTCCATTCCACTCTCCTTTTCCTTAATCTTGTGTGCAAGAATCTGGAATTTGTGATGCAAAACAAGTTAAACAGCCAGCTTCAGGCGAAAAAGAACATTGTCAAAACCAACAACCAATTATAAGCATTCAATCTACTGTCCATTCACAGACGTAAGATCATGGAAGAAAATAAAAATAGAAAAAAGAAGCCACATAAGAAAACCCAAATCATAAACAGAAAGCAGAAAGGTAAATTATTTTTAGATATGCGAAGAAGGAATCATACGTCCAGACATTTAGGGTCTCGTTATGGATGGTGAATATGCTGAAAAGAGTCTGCTTGAGAGGCCATTCAGAGCGGTAATAACCAAGGATGTATTCATTATCCTTGAGATAGTTGGGGAGGGAATGATATTCGACGAGCTGGTATCTGACCTTCTTCCATAACCTCCGGCCCTTGCCATCTTTCCGTGCTTCGCCTCTTCTCGCCATATAACAATCACTTTCGACCTCCGCCCGTGGAAACATTCCCGCCGAATCTTCTTAATACAACGATCGCAGAGCTCAAGAGCACCGTAACAGACGCCGATGCCGATCGGATCAAGAGGGTCGCAAGGACAAAAAAAAAGGGAGACCGTGATCGCCGGCCTCCGCTTTGTATAAAGCGACGAATTCAACGTAAGGAAACATGCACGGTCGCGATGGCAGCTGGAATTTTATTTTAATGGTCCAACCGTCCAACGGGGGTGATTTTATTTAGGAGTGTAAACGAATATTATTTAGTCACCATCACTTTGAATTTTTTTTTTTAATATTTAGATCAATTAAAATAAATTTATATGCATATTATATATATAATTCAAATAAAAAACTTTTAAACTGAGGGTCAAAATTTTCAATCAATAAATCAAGATAAGCTCTCTATCACTTTGGATTTCACTTTGATTAATTTATTTTGACTTAGCTACAAATTTGAATAAGATCATTTAATATAATTATTATTATTATTATTATTATTATTAATTGAAATTTAATAAAAAAATTAAAAAAATAATAAATTAATTAAAATATAATCTTTAATAAATTTATATTTAAACTCTTAAATATTTAATATTTTAAAGAATATTTTACAGTAATATTTTTGAAATAAAATTGGCTTTAAATTTGATTTATTAGCTCTTTGTCACACGAGTCAACACACCCATCAACTTAACCAACTTACACCGGCCTTAAAAAATTTAGATAATAAAAAAGCTAGTAAAATATAGACATTAGGACCAGGATGCCATGTTGATTGACTATGAGCATGCGTGGTAACTACCCAGATGAGGATGGATGCCAAAACATTTGTCCAAAATTAGATAAACAATCAATTACTTCTAAAAGATATTTCTATACTCAATATCAATTATGATTTTAATCTTATCATCAAAGTTATAATTTCAAAAATTTTGATGATTTCAACCGTCTCAATCTTTTTTTTATTCTAAGTTTTAAGTTATTTTTTATGCTCACAATTTTTATTATTTTAATATTTTCAACATACCATATTTTAATGAAGATTGAGATGATTTAATTAAAAAAACTTTGAACACATTTTGTTAACTAAGGAATTTAATCAGGCCCATACAGTTGTCGGCATGATTCCTAAGTTGGTTTACCCGACACCTAAAATAGTTGTTAGGCGCCTATGGTGAGCTACCTAGCAACTTTAGATCAACTCTCTCAGAGAATCCTACATTAAAGAGAGACTGCAAGGTAGACAAGGAGTATTAGCAGTGAAAATAGAGATGCTTTTAACTTCCTTCCATTGAGCTTTTTGATAAAATGCTACAGTATATTTCCTATTATATATATAGAGAAGTGAAGCCGAATATTATTCCGTTGGGAGGATTCTTCTGGAAGGTAGTGATGCTTGATGTTGTCAGGCGGCTGAGTGTAGTGGGCACATGTTGCCATTATATGCTAACATGCCCCCTCAAACTGACTATCCTTTGGAAGGATAGTAAGTTTGGTGTGTAATTCTTGGAATCGATTGACTATAAGTGGTTTTGTTAGAATGTCAGCGGGTTGATCCGTGGAGTTGATGTGTAGAATGACAATTTCCTTATTTTTGATGTGGTGGCTAATAAAATGATAGTCGATCTCAATATGTTTAGTTCGAGCATGAAAAATGGGGTTATTCGCAAGGGCCATTGCTGATGTATTGTCACAGAACAAGTTGGTGTGTTGAGTTTGGGATGCTTCAAATTTGTTAAGAAGTCTACGAATCTATAGAATGTCGGAGGTAGCCGCTGCTAAGGCACGGTATTCGTCTTCGGTAGAGGACTTAGCGACGATAACCTACTTTTTCACTGACCATGATATCAAATTTGACCCAAGGAATGTGCAGAATCCCGTGATGGATTTGCGGTCTGTGTGATCATATGCCCAATCCATATCGACATATTTGTGTAATGTCAAGTCACTACGGAGTAGAGGAAGGTTATAATTGATAGTTCCTTGTATGTACTAAAGAAGCATCTTTAATGCTTGAAGGTGGCTCGGTTTGGGGTCATGCATATGTTGGAAATTTTGATTTGTAGGGAATGGGAGGTCCGGTCTTGTGATGGTCAAGTACTGGAGAGAGCCGGCAAGCTGTCGGTAGAGGGTTTGATCGTGTATTGCTTATTCTGTGGTAGTTTGAGAGGATTGTTTGAGAGTGATATGGGTTGGGGATGGTTTGCAATTTTGGAAGCCACTTGCTTTGAGAATATCTTGGGTGTATTACTACTGATCTAAGAAGTAGCTGTGGGTGGTTGAGGAAATCCTTATACCAAGAAATAAGGAGACTGGGCAGGGTTCTTTGAGAGAGAATGCAGTTCGTAGCTTAAGAAGTAGATGGTGTATGGAATTCATGTCATTGCCCATGACAAGCATATCGTCGACATATATAAGTATATATATGTGTATGGTTCCAACATTGTAGATTAGAAGTGAGGGATTGGACTTACTGAATTGGAAGCCGGCTTCTTGAAGGTGTGCTATAAGTTTGCTATACCATTGTCTTGGAGATTACTTCAGGCCATAGATAGCCTTGTGGAGCTTGCAAACATGGTTTGGAAATTGTTTGTCGATGAACCCTTGCGGTTGATGCATGTAGACGTCCTCTTCTAGCTCACCATGGAAAAAGGCATTTGAGACGTCTAATTGCGTAACTTGCCAGTCTCGTTGGAGAGCAATTGTAAGGAGTATTCGAATGGTTGGTAGCTTGGCAATGGGGTTGAATGTCTTGTGATAATTGATGCCTAGATGGTGATCGAAGTCTTTGGCAACGAGTCTAGCTTTGTACCGTTCAATTTGACCATTCGAATTCAGTTTGGCTCAGTAGGTCCATTTGCAACTGAGAATTAGATGTTGTGGGGGTGGAGGTACGAGGGACCATGTTCCTTGCCTGTGAAGGGCTTGAAATTCATCAGACATAGCAGTATACCAATGGGGGCTTTTGGTGGATTGGCTGAAGGATGTTGGGGTGGAGTTATTAAGTGTGGTGGCAAGCAAGTCAAAGACTGTTTTTGGCTTTACTATTCCAGATTTGAACCGTGTTCGTATTGGATGGGGTGGTGGAGGTAGTGTAGTGGAGATACGGGGTTCTTGTTGTTGTGGCAGATGTAAGGAACCCATGGGGGAGGGTGAATGGGAAGTTGGGGTTATGGTTGGGTAGATAAGAGGTAATGTGATTGATTCTGGAGTAGTGGAGTTAGTAGGTGGTGATTGGGTCGTTAGTGGCATGGAAGTAGCAGAG